CCTGGCATGTGGGAGATCCTCATCACTATTAATTTAGAAAGGATGGTGGGGTTAAATGGTACCCAACACCAGGACCTCGCCACACTCAGGCTGACTCACAGCGTGAGTGAACAGCAGGGAACGGGGCCAGAATCAACGCCAGGTCTCCTCCCCTTTGTGAGAGAGTCCTATTCCTGCTGGCAAGGAAGGAAGGATCCTGGAGAACATGTCACCCATGGGCATGGTTTTTCTTTTTCTTTTTTTTGAAACGGAGCCTCGCTCTATTGCCAGGCTGGAGTGTGTTCAGTGGCGTGATCTAGGCTCACTGCAACCTCTGCCTCTCAAATTCAAGCGATTCTCCTGCCTCAGACTCCCAAGTAGCTGGGACTACAGGCGCGCCCCACAACGCCCAGCTAATTTTTGTATTTTTAGTAGCGACAGGGTTTCACTATGTTGGCCAAAAGGGTCTCGATCTCTTGACCTCGGGGCACTGGGTTTTTTTAATTGCACAGTGACTGTGCCCTCCAGTAGACATATTCCTATCAGATAAGTGTCCCTTCTCAGGGAAAGAGGAAGAATGGAGGTGTAAGGAAGAGACTGGAAAGATTGCTCTATCCAGATGCTGATGGATTTGCTACCAGTATCATCATTACAAAGATTTTTTTTTTGAGACAAAGTCTTGCTCTGTTGCCCAGGCTGGAGTGCAGTGGTGCAATCTCAGCTCACTGCAACCTCCACCTCCCAGGTTTAAGCAATTCACCTGTTTCAGCCTTCCCAGTAGCTGGGATTACAGGCATGCCCCACCACACCTGGCTAATTTTTGTATTTTTTGTAGAGACAGGGTTTCACCATGTTGGCCAGGCTCGTCTCAAACCCCTGCCTCAGCTTCCCAAAGTGCTGGGATTACAGGCATGAGCCACTTTGCCCCACCCATTTCAAAGATTTTTGCAGGTGGCAAACTCAACAAGAGTCCTCTGAGGCACCACCACGACCCTTTTCAGGAAGTCTATGGGGCCTCTGAATACCTAATACTCACAACCTTTTTTTCAGTCTTAAAGGTGTTGGCTGAGTGTAGTTGCTCACACCTGTAATCCCAGCACCTTGGCAGGCCGAGGCAGGGGGACTACTTGAAGCCAGGAGTTCGAGACCACCCTGGGCAACATGGCAAAATTCCATCTCTAGAAAAAATTTAAAAATTAGCTGCGCGTGGTGGCCATGCCTACAGTCCCAGCCATTTGGGGGACTGAGATGGGAGAATCACTTGGGCCCAGGAGGTCTACGCTACAGCAAGCTATGATCACACCACTGCACTCCAGTCTGGGTTAACAGAGTGAGACGCTGGTTCTAATAAATAAATAAATAAAGGTGTTCAGAGCTTGGGGACAGTGGCCCAAGCACCGCTTCCTATATTAGTTGAAAACTGCTGTGTTATAAAACCACCCACAAATTGAGGGGCTTGAGAAACCAATGTTTTTTTATTCCCCTAAAGTCCATGGGCTGCCTGGGTGGATGCCTGCTGGTCTCACCTGGCTCTGTGAATTATAGTTCAGTGGCAGGTGGAGCAGGTGGCAGGTGAAGCAGCTGGCAGGTGGAGCAGCTGGCTGGAACAGGATGGCCTCACTCACATAGCTGGTGTTAGCTTGGGCTGTGGACTGGGCTTCCCCTCCGTGGGGGCCCTCTTCCTCCTTTAGGTTAGACCAGGATTCTTTTCTTTGTTTGTTTGTTTGTTGGTTTTTGAAACAGAGTCTCACTCTGTTGCCAAGCTGGAGTGCAGTGGCGCAAACTCGGCTCACTGCAATGTCCACCTCCCAGGTTCAAGCAATTCTCCTGCCTCAGCCTCCCGAGTAGCTGGGATTACAGGCATGCGCCACTATGCCTGGCTGATTCTGTTTTTTAGTAGAGACGGAGTTTTACCATGTTGGCCAGGATGGTCTCCATCTCTTGACCTCATGATCTGCCCACCTCAGCCTCCCAAAGTGCTGGGATTACAGCAGTGTGAGCCGCCATGCCCAGCCTAGACCAGGTTTCTTAAAGCAAATGGTCTCAGGGCAACAGGAGAGTAAGTGCAGAAGCTGCAGGGACCCTTGAGGCCCAGGCTTGGAGATGCACAATATCACTTCCCCCATATTCTATTGATCAAAGCAAGTCACATGGCCAAGCCCCTTTGAGAAGTAGAGAAATCAATTTCCCTCATCATGAAAGGAGCGGCAAAGTCACATTGCAAAATGGGCATGCACACAGGGAGGAGTGATCATGGCCATCTTTGCAATCAGTCAGCACCACGAAATCTCCCGTCAGGTCCTGGCCTTCCAGGCTCCCTTGGTGACCCAGAGTAACCCCTTCTCTTCAGACTTCCTGAGCCTCACCTCTGCGCTCATCCCACCAGGTGGCCTGGCTGCCGTGATCTACACAGATGCTCTGCAGACGCTGATCATGCTTGTAGGAGCACTCACCTTGATGGGCTACAGTAAGTGGGGGTCCCAGGGTCACTTGGGTGGACAATAGCACCTCTCTGAAGCAGGGATATCTATTCTCATCACTGTGAGAGGCAAACCCAGCTGTCAAAGAGCATACTACTGGGGGATTTTTGTCATGGTTGCTTTGCTTGAACCACAGTTATTTTGGCTAGAAGAGAACTGTGCTTACTGTGGAAACGTACTGTTTTTGTTTTTCTTTTTTTGTTTTTTGTTTTGAGACAGGGTCTAGCTCTGTCACTCAGGCTGGAGAGCAGTGGTGTGATCACAGCTCACTGCAGCCTTGAGCTCCTGGGCTCAAATGTCTCTCCCACTTCAACCTCCTGAGTAGCTGGGACTACAGGTGTAAGCCACTATGTCCAGCTAATTGTTTTATTATTTTGGTTTTTTGTAGCGATGGAGTCTCACTGTGTTGCCCAGGCTGATCTCAAACTCCTGGCCTCAAGTGATCCTCCTGCTTCAGCCTCCCAAAGCCACCCTACCTAGAACTGTTTTTTGTTTAGGTAAAAATTAATCTATTTCTATACTAATATGGAAAAATAATTGAATAAATAAATAAAAGAAGATGAAGAGACAGCTCTTACTTACAGAAGGTTTTGTTTGTTTGCTTTGAGATAGGGTCTCACTCTGCCGCCCAGACTGGGGTGCAGTGACAATCTTGGCTCACTGCAACCTCTGCCTGCTGGGCTCAAGCCTCCAAGTAGCTGGGCCCACAGGTGTGCACCACCACATCCAGCTAATTTTTACAATTTTTTTTTAAGAGATGGGGTTTCACCATGTTGCCCAGGCTGGTTTCAAACTCCTGGGCTCAAGCAATCTACCTGCCTCAACCTCCCAAAATGCTGGAATTACAGGCATGAGCCACCACTCCCAGCCTTTTTTTTGAGATGGAATCTCGCCCTGTCATCCAGGCTGGAGGGCAGTGGCATGATCTTGGCTCACTGCAACCTCTGCCTCCCGGGTTCAAGTGATTCTCCTGCCTCAGCCTCTTGAGTAGCTGGGATTACAGGCACACACCACCAATGTGGTTAATTTTTGTATTTTTAGTAAAGACAGGGTTTCCCCATGTGGACCAGGCTGGTCTTGAATTCCTGACCTCAGGTGATTTGCCTGCCTCAGCCTCCCAAAGTGCTGGGATTACAGGCATGAGCAATCTCGCCCCCACCCAATATCTATTTCTCTGAAAAGAATCAAAAAAGGTGGCTCATGCCTATAATCCCAGCACTTTGGGAGGTCGAGGCAGGAGAATTGCTTGAGCCTAGGAGTTCACGACCAACCTGGACAACATAGCGAGATCTGTCTCTACAAAAAAGTTTAAAAAGTCACCAGATGTGGTGGTGCATGCCTGTAGTCCTAACTACTCTGGAGGCTGAGGCAGGAGGATTGCTTAAGCCCAGGAGTTTCAGGTTACAAATAATTGACACCCTTCTTAGGGCAAGTATAGATGACTTTAGGAGGTAGTAAATTATTTTGGGGGGAAGTCAATGGGCTTAAAGAACATACAATGGCCTGGGACAATGGCCAGGAGAATCTCTTGAGGTCAGGAGTTTGAGACCAGCCTGGCCAATATGGTGAAACCCCATCTCTACTAAAAATACAAAAATTAACCAGGCTTGGTGGCGTATGCCTTTAATCTCTGCTACCTGGGAGGCTGAGGCAGGAGAATCACTTGAACCTGTAAGGCAGAGGTGGCAGTGAGCCAAGATCACACCACTGCACTCCAGCCTGGGCGACAGAGCAAGACTCCGTCTCAAAAGAAAAAGAAAAAAGAAAGGAAACTTGAAGAGATACATTCATTACTTTGTGGCAGAGGTTTCATGGGTGAATACTGATGTCAAACTTATCAAATTTTACACTTTAAATATTTGCAATTTATGGCTAGGTCAGTTATAGTCCAATAAAACTCTATTATTATTTTTTAAGTTAAAAAAAGTGGGGGGGAGGAAGGTTAAGAACCCTTAAGGGGTTCAACATTTTTTGGTGGCTCTGCTCTTACTAGAATTTCACTAATCGCCAACCGTCTTCTCATCACTTGCCATGGACCTAGCTGAGTTCCCCTGGCAAACAGGCTTCCCCTGAATTCTAGGTTTTGCTGCGGTTGGTGGGATGGAAGGCCTGAAGGAGAAGTACTTCTTGGCCCTGGCTAGCAACCGGAGTGAGAACAGCAGCTGCGGGCTGCCCCGAGAAGATGCCTTCCATATTTTCCGAGATCCGCTGACATCTGATCTGCCATGGCCAGGGGTCCTATTTGGAATGTCCATCCCGTCCCTCTGGTACTGGTGCACGGATCAGGTACAGGACAGCGGCCTGAGCAAGCTTCTTCCTCCTCTTTGTTTCTTTCCTTAGGGTGGCTGAAGTTGGTGCTTTTTTCTTCCTCCATGTCTACTCTCATTTGCGTTTTCCCTGCCTCCTTGACTGCTTCCCGCATTCCATTACTCTACATGCTATTTTATTTCTTACTTTTGTGAATATGAATGACAAATCCAAAGCTGATGATATTTGCAAAGGGGAAAACTCAACACATTATGTTTTTTTTTTTTTTTTTCCTGAGAGAGGGTCTCACTGTCACCCAGGCTGGAAGTCAGAGGCATGATCATAGCTCACAGCAGTCTTCATCTCCTGGGCTTGAGAGATCCTTCCACTTCAGCCTCCTGAGTAGCTGGCGCTACAGGCACGTGACAGCATGTCCAGCTATTTTTTTATCTTTATTTTTTAGTAGAGATGCAGGTCTCACTATGTTGGCCAGGCTGCTCTCAGACTCCTGTGTTCAAGTGATTCTCCTGCCTCAGCCTCCCGAAGTGCTGGGATTACAGGTGTGATCCACTGCACCCAGCCTAATACATTCTGCTTTATGAAGATTCAGTAAGCAAAGGAGATGATGCCTTTTAAATGGGGGTTAAAACTCCGATTGGACATCATTTGTTCAACAAATGCACGCTGGGTATCCTCTGCATACCAGACACTCCTCTGGGCACTGAAAACCAGGAGCTAATGAATCAAAGCACTCTGCCCTTTATGGAGCTTCCCTTCTCCCAATGAGAGTAGACAGAGACAGTAAGCAAATTGTGAGATGTTAAAATATGATAAATGTCATTTTAAAAAGTAGAGTGAAGTCAAGGAGACTGAGGGTGTGGGAGTGCAATTTAAAGTGGAGTGAGGCCGGCCCAGTGGTTCACACCCGCCATCTCAGCACTTTGGAGGCTGAGGCGGGAGGCTCACTTAAGCCCAGGAGTTTGAGACCAGCCTGAGCAACTTAATGAGACCCTGTCCCAAAAAAGGAAAAAAAAATTAAAAATTAGCCATACATTGGTGTGCACCTGTAATCCCAGCTACTCAGGAGGCTGAGATCGCTGGAACCCAGGAGGTCAAACTGCAATGAGTTGAGATTGCACCATTGCACTCCAGCCTGGGCAACAGCCTTGAGACAGCAAGATCCTGTATCAAATAAAATAGGGTGCGGAGGGGAGGTGTCATTGAGAAGTGACCTTTGAGCAAAGATTTGTAGAAGGGCGAGAGCTCCCTGTGATTTTTGGAGGAAGAGTTTGCAACAGAAGGAACAGACAGAGCCAAGGCATAAATGGCATGAAAAAAGAAAGGAGAAAATAAAAAAGCAGAACCATGTCTATAAGAAGCCCCTTCGTGTTAAAAAAATAATAATAAAAAAAGCGGGGGGTGGGGAGAATAGAATCAATATTTTCATTTAGTTATATGTGCATAAACTCTGGACAGATGTGTATAAAACTAAGCGGAGTGGATGCCCGTGGGCAGGGAGGCAGGGAGGGTGGGAAGGATGAATGGGAGCCAATTATTGTCTCAGGTTTTAAACTGAGTGAATATATCACTTGTTCAAATATTCTTTTTCTGTGATGTTAAACATCAGAGATCTATGTGCCATTTGGGGAGCTAGACTACACCGTAGTGAGGGCTGATGAGAGTTTAATTAAAGCAGTAATCATGGTGTTGGATCATTGATTTGATGCAGACTTTACCGAGAATGAAACCCAGGTCCCATCCATGGCCAGCCGTCCTTTGAGGTCTCACTCCATGCCTGGCCAGATTTCTAAACTTCAGACCTATAGCTCTTTGATCCAGCTTCCCCTATCTAATCCTCGCCTCCTCTTCTATTTCATTGACCTATTGGAACTTCTTTCTCTGGTTTCATCTAACAACAGCAATGATGGTAACAATGACAATAATCACAACTGCTCTCTCTGTTAAAAAGCTGCTAGAGTCCTCTTGCCTTTGGAGCCCCCCTCCTTCTGTCTCTGTACAGGGGAGCTTCTTCCTTCTTTCTTGCCTATTAAACTCTCTGTTTCTTAAAACCAAAGGGAAAAAAAAAGAGCTTCTGATGGTTACAGAAAACAGACCCAGCCTGGCATGGTGGCTCATGCCTGTAATCCCAGCACTTTATGAGGCTCAGGTGGGTGGCTCACTTGAGGTCAGGAGTTCGAGACCAGCTGGCCCACATGGTGAAACCCTGTCTCTATTAAAAATACAAAAATTAGCTGGGCATGGTGGCAGGCTCCTGTAATCCCAGCTACTCGGGAGGCTGAGGCAGGAGAATCGCTTGAATCCAGGAGGTGGAGGCTGCAGTGAGCCAAGATCTCACCACTGCACTCCAGCCTGGGCGACAGAGTGAGACTCCATCTCAAAAAAAGAAAGAAAAGAAAAGAAAAGAAAAGAAAAGAAAACCCCTCAGTTGGACAGCCAGCTTGTGACCAGAGCTTTTTTGAGTTCTGACTGGCTGAATGTGTTTCATCCAGTGTGTATGGGTACCTGTCCTTGAAACTTGTCCACCAAACCCCGTGTCACTGCTAATGCAGTTAGGTCATTAGCAAAAGCTGCATATTTCACACTGTCCTCAAGCATACTGATGTCTTTGGGCAACTGTCTCTGACAAGGTTCAGTCCCATGGATTCTGCAGATGAAACGCCACCCAAGGGGACATCTCTCTCCCCACCAAAATGTGCTGTGAAATCTAAAATAATTATTGGGGCTGTGGTATGGAGTTTGCATCAAGTCCTACCTTCCCGCACGCTTCCCATTTAGGGTTCTTTGATGATTTAGTGAGGATTTGTTTAGTTGTTTGTGTGAAAAAAAAATACTTTAAGCATAAAAAGGCTCTTTTTTTGTTTTTTCTGGGTGTGGTGGCTCATGCCTATAATCCCACTGCTTTGGGAAGCTGAGGCAGTAGTACTGTTTGATGTCAGGAGTTGGAGACCAGCCTGGGCAACATAGTGAGAGTCTGTCTGTACAAAAAGTAAAGACAAACACAAAATTTGGCCAGGCATGGTGACACAGCTACTTGGGAGGCTGAGGCAGGATGATTGTTTGAGGCCAGGGGTCCAAGACCAGCCTCCACGGTAAAGACTCCATCTCTAAATAAAAAATTTTTGAATGAGCTGGGTGTAGTGGCTCATGCCTGTGGTCCCAGCTGCTTGAAAGGCTGAGGTGGGAGGATCATTTGGGCCCAGGACTTTGAGGCTGGGCTGTGATCACATCATTGCACCTCTGCCTGGGCAACAGAGTGAGACCCCATCTCTAAAAAAAAAAAAAAAAAAGGCATTTAAAAAAACTTACATGATGGGGAGTCCAGAGGTGGCTAATGACAGTGGTAACAACTAATATTTATGAAGCAGTTACTATGTGTCATATTCTAAGTATTCTAAGTGCTTTTACTTCTGTAATTGTTAAAACCGCCCTGATATTATGTTCATTTCATAGATGAGGAAACAGAGGCCAAGAGAAGTGAAGTTGCTTGCCCAAGATCAGATAGGTGGGAAGCGGGGAAGGAGTATTTGAACCCAGACGGCCTGTCTCTGACACTACATCATCAAACATTGCCTTTCTCTACGTTCCCTGGTTTTCTTTCCTCTGTGGTGACTTAGTTTCAAAGAGGCCTTCCCATATGATGGCAGAGATGCAGCCAGCAGCTCTGAGCCACCTTCACAGTTAGCAATTGCAAAGGAGGCACCAGGGGTTAGGAGACCTCTTTCCTTTGCCTTTTTTTTTTTTTTTTTTTTTTTTTTTTTTCTTTTTGAGACAGTCTTGCTCTGTCGCCCAGGCTGGAATACAGTGGTGCGATCTCGGCTCACTGTAACCTCCGCCTCCTCGGTTCAAGCGATTCTCCTGTCTCAGCTTCCCAAGTAGCTGGGATTACAAGCATGTGCCAGTGTGCCTGGCTAATTTTTGTATTTTTTATAGAGATGGGGTTTCACCATGTTGGCCAGGCTGGTCTCAAACTCCTGGCCTCAAGCGATCCTCCTGCTTCGGCCTCCCAAAGTGCTGGGATGACAGGCATGATCCACTGTGCCTGGTGCTGGGGAAACGGCAATGGAGGAAGGGCTTACGGAGTGCCTGCATAAAGTGGTTACAGCACGGTGGACGATAAACCACAGCTGTTTTGAAAACAGTTACTCGCTAGTGAGTAAAGACTCCTTCTAGTCAGTCTAATGAGTATGTTTTTTACCACCTTACATACAATTTTCTTTTACTTTCTGAGAATGGGCTTAACATTTTTACTTTTTTTTTTTTTTGAGACGGAGTTTCACTCATGTTACCCAGGCTGGAGTGCAATGGCGCGATCTCGGCTCACCGCAACCTCCGACTCCTGGGTTCAGGCAATTCTCCTGCCTCAGCCTCCTGAGTAGCCGGGATTACAGGCACGCGCCACCATGCCCAGCTAATTTTTTGTACTTTTTTAGTGGAGACGGGGTTTCACCATGTTGACCAGGATGGTCTCGATCTCTTGACCTCATGATCCACCCGCCTCGGCCTCCCAAAGTGCTGGAATTACAGGCTTGAGCCACCGCGCCCGGCCCCAACATTTTTACTTTTTAACTTAACTACTATTATTTAATTTGGTGTAAAGTTTTTCTTTAAAGGGTGTGGTTTTACATGCTTAGCTTTTAATTGCTTTTTAACTAATTTGTGAACTAACTGTAATTTTTTTTCCCTTTGGAGGTTACTGTTTTACTTAAATTGGATTTTAAAAGAGTTACCTTAGAGATAACACAGTAGTTATTATTCAAATTTAAATTTTACCGAAACCTTAGCAGAGAATTACAATTTTGGATGTCACTTGTTTACAAAGAACACACAGAATTTTACTGTGGGACACCCATGGAACCAGAGGCTGCAGCGACGGGTCCCAGGATGGCAGCCGTGCTGGCCCCGCCCAGCGGCTGCTTGTTACTTGCACCCTTTTGCTGGCGTTTCGCTTGTGCTGCTCACTTCCCGCACCCGGGCAACATTTGCTGGCCTTGGGCTGAGCCTATTGGCTTGGATGCTGCTGCTGGAGCAGCAAGTTTCACTTTTGAAACGGCCTCTAATTCCTCTAATGGAGGAATGTCAAGTGGTTCTGGCAACTCCTTGATAAAATACTGAGGAGGGGCTGACAGACGGATTCCTTCTTTTTCCTCATTTATTTTTTCTTTTCTCTTAACTGGGTTGTCTTTAATTTCCTCATCCCGGTTATAGTCTCGTTCTTCCCCAGCTCCTTCTTGATAAAGCAATGAAAGTCAAAGAAAGCAACAGAAGAACGGAGTAAGAAAGCACAGACTCATTGAACACAATGGACAGAGCAAGTGGCTAGTACTAATTTTAACTCCTCCTCTTTTTAAGAGGTGCTTCACTAAGTGTGAATAAG